TTGTTAGCTACTTAACCGACCAATGGTTACAGAACTTGTAGAATGGTTTAAAACTATATAATTTAGTTTAATAATATCCACTGTCTCTGTACTCAGTCAATCATTGTTTTCTGATGTGCATAGTAAATAGCTGTACTGGCTGTATAGATGTAAGATTTTTGAAAATACTAGCAATGAGATTAAACAATCCTTTCTCCGTCCTCCACAGACGATGGCCGTGTGTATGGCCGTAAACTTTAATGTATTTTTTATTTGACAATTTTGAATTTCTCATTAAAGTACATAGTAATCATAATTTTGTTGTTATTCCTAACTTTCATATACATATGTATAAGAAATATGATTTCACTAATATGTAAATTGCTTAAACATGTTTTTTTGGAAATATACTAACTATAGTCAGAATTTTAATTAGATTCCAGATTTGACAATAGCTACTGTCATTTTGTGAAATAATGATACCACATATAATAGTGTAGTGATGAACACAAAAATCGATAAACAATCAGTGTGTGTGTTTTATAATAAATGTTACAGAAAGTGACAGGATAGCGATAGCGATGACGGCGACAAATTATAAAATAACTTTTTACCATAATACATCTATCTGTTTTATTTGTCATGTTCCTTCATGATTACATTTTTTATTTATTTTACACACAATTATAAAAGAAAAGTGTCAGATCGTTAATTAATCGACAAAACTAAATGATCGGTTCAGAAATATTTAATTTCCTGATATACTTAATTTACGAGAGTAAAATTATACACGAGAAGAATCGATCCAGAAATATTGCATTTCCATATCGAATAATTTCGCAACGTCACTATTTAGTACTTGTCATAACGTTGCAACACTGAAATTGCCAAATCTGGAATCGAATTAAAATTCCGAGTATAATGTTTGCAAAGAATTATTTGATAAATTATAATAAGTACACTGGATGCGATAGCTATTATTTCGTTGTTTTGTTGTTCACTAACAGTATTATAAATGATTTGGTTGTATGACCAATAATGCCGTGGGCATTAATTAATCATAGATAAATAGTTTGGCTGTTTTAATGAATTGTTATCTAATATTTTGCGTTCTAATATGACAAGTGTTTGTGTTAGTTTAGTCATTTTGGTTACACTGTATTTTTATTTATTTAGGTATATTTAATCTCTTCTTCTGTTGATTGAAAATAAATGAGAGGTATCTGTTTACAATTTTGAAATTGTTATGTAATAAATATTAATCTTATATCAAAAATATATAAAGATATTTTATTTTATAATATCTTGTGTTCGTTTAACATATTAAGAACAATAGTGTGAAGATACACCATTTCTCATCTCATTAAACCTGTTTATACCTTTATTTTATCTTTACCTTCTAAATGTTTAAGGAACAAAAACAAGTTACATAAAGACTAAAGTACTAAGTTGAAGTGACTTTGATTTGAATTACCTTCTGGGCAGAAGTGTAAGAAAAACTTTGTATCGTTTTATCTTTTCCTCGAATACCGATGTGAATTCTTAATATGATTTTATTCCAATAGTTTTCTATCGGTAATCAATTGAGTAAGTAAATCTACTCTATTATCAGAATATTAAATACACTAAGGGACCGTTTTTAAAGTCTGGTCTGGTTCAAACTGTCGATCGACGTTGACTAATTCTTTTTATCATCGACTGACGACCGATCGTTTAGTGTAGTTACATTACCCTAACAAAAACAAAACTATGTACCTATGTAAGAGAAGGTGTATGTACCATTTCTGGCTGACCTAACAAAATATTTATCCATTTTACTATTTAAACTTTAAGTAGCTCACTGTGTGTTTCATTTTACGTATAAAAATATTGTAAAATACTACCATGGTAACTATTTAGTGCCTATTTCATTTTTAAGCTTAACAAAGTGTATTTTTAACCTATGTATGATAATTTATCTGTCCGCTATTGCGAATACTTATTAAAGTCTGTGATGCTACTTGATTTCATTATTTATTCTAGCATGTAACTTTTCACCACTTAAAATTAATTCAGGTAAGCCTGTTGCTGTGTCGTGGTGGCCCGGAAGGCTAAGATGCCCGCTTCTCATGCATGAGGGTACGGGTTCAAAACCTACCAACGGCAAGTATCAATGTGACTTTTCCGAGTAATTATGTACTTTCTAAGATTATCTAGACACCACTGACAAACGGTGAAGGAAAACATCGCGAGGAAACCTGGGCTTATAAATTACAATTATAAGTTTGTAATCGCTAACCCGCATTGAGCAGGCGCGGTGATTAATGCCATGTCTCTACTTTAGGACATCTGGTAATCGGCTTGAGTAAGTACTGAGTATTCAGTTGGGAGCAGTGCCATCTATCGGCAAGTAGTGGAACTTTATTTAGACCTTACCTTAGTGAGCTAGATTATGTTACACAAATGCGTGTTCAGATACTTGTCAACGGGTCCACCATTTTTTCGCTCTGCATATGGTCCAGATGTAGCAGGAGATTTTTTGGACTAATCACTGCAGCTGTCAAATATTGATAGTCCAATAATGTAACACTAGCGAATTCCCTATTGGAGGAAGAACGAGGGGTTGCACTAACGCCATCTGAGTTGTGAGCAAAACTAATAGCCCCCATTGTATCTGTCTTGTCTGTGTAATTTCAACGTAGATTTTTAGTAGCAAATAATGCTGTTATTAACAAGATGTCGTAAGTGTCGACTAAAGGACTCAACAAACATGTCATTACAATTAATAAAGTAAAATAAAAAAGACCCCTAGCAATAGTTTCATAGAAATATTGTCATATCTATTGAATGCAAAGAGAACAAAGATTCCCAAATTTAGAAAATGGCTCAATAAGGCTTAAGCACTCCTTTCGATAAATTCATTCACTGAGACTTAAAAAACTAAGTAATAAGATTGTTAAAAAAACAAATAGCTAATAATACTGTTCCAATTTTAAACCCATTGCTCGGCAATCACCTTTTGCACCTGTTCACAAAACAAAAATGAGGTTTTACCGAAGAAAGATTCAAACTCAAATCCTCGCTTTACCCAACGCTTACGATAAACAAACCAGGTATACATCTTCATAACTATTCCATACATACAACGCTGTCTGGTATTGATTTTCTAGGCATATACTCGAGCAGATAGTTAGGTATTCAGATCCCTTTCAAAGGATACGGGACGATTTCTCAGTTTAATGTATTCGGAAGCTGTTACATAGAGAAGAATTTTAATTCTTACAATGTTTTACATGTCTCTATAATCTTAGCTTGTCAAATTAAACAATATCAAAATGTAACAATAAATATTTTCTCTTTCATTCAATAAAATCGGGACGTACTATTTGCTACGATGCAAATATTGAAAACTATCGGACAGTGTAAAGTTCACTACATTTTTGAAAACACACGGGGCGTTAAATGTTCAATTTTATACTAACCGTTGCCCGCGGTTTCTTTCATATGGAATTTTTGATAATGTAATCACTACTTACTATGATCTAGGCGACATGTGACCCATGGAAATGATCCTAAATATTTACATAAATCTGTTTAGATTTCTAAATCTAATCTGAATAAATCTAAATCTCACCTTTTTGTCCCTTCGCAAAGGTGCACTAGTAACAAAGTAGATAACTACCTTTTTTGAGGGAGAAAAATCATCTAACACTTTTCCCGCCTTGAGTGAGACGAGACAGTGTCAGACTCTCACTGACTTAAAACCACCCCGTTTCTACTTCTGCATGGAACCACGGTTACCCGTTAAGTGATCTATAGCACCGGGTCGGGCGGCCAGCAGCCCTACTGGGCCCCATCTGTGGTGATCTGTAGGCTCTTTGCGGCGCGCGCGGAACACGACTCGTTATACGGCTGACAGTACTAGAATCCAACTAGAATCTGAGTTCTAGTTGGGCTCTTTCTCTTCTCATTTGGATAATCTAATCATAGACAAAGCTCCCAAATCAGCCTACTGCGCTGGTCAGGCCTTTCTTTCTCTGTCATCTACCCCGGTCACCAAGTTGAATGGAACCGGCGAGAGACGTCAGGCGGTGTTCCACAGGGTACGGTTTTTGGGGGACTTCTGTGGAACATTAGCTACGACGGTGCCGCGCAATTACCTTCCGAACGGTGTCAGCGTGGTCTGCTACGACACGCTGGTGCTAGAACTCGGGAGGTCGTACCAGGCAGCGACTAAATTAATGGCAAGAGCGGTCGGAGTGGTCATTGCTACTAGCACTTGAGGTGGCATTCCACCTCGAGTGCTAGTTGCCAGATCCTATATACCTATATAAACTGATCCTATAAAACTGGCCGTTAAAAGCACGGAAAGACCACATGAGAGACCACGACAACCTGGTCACCGATGGCAGCCGGAGGACAAGGGATAACGGTGGACACTGGTGACCCCACAAACTTGTGGATAAGCTTCTGTTGACGCTCACAAATGTCACTAAAATAAAATTGCGTCCTCTAAACAATGCAAAACTGAGTCTATTTATTCAATAGAATAGAATAGAATCATTTATTTCCATCTAATATAGGTACATAATATTTATAAGGTCTTACAAAGATACATCGTTCCTGGTACATCAACTGGCATGCAAACTTTTTTTAAATCTTTAAAGCTATGAATATAATTGACTTTAATACTTTGTAAGTTAGTTATCTATAAAACTATTATATTAATTGATAAAATAAATCTAATAATATTTGAAAATTGTTATCAGACTTACAGCAAATCAGTCTAAATGTTGTCTAAAAAAAAATTTGACACAGAATAATAACATTTTTGTATCAACAAAGATGCAAGTTGTATATAATATTTCAAAGGACTAGGTAGGTCCTTATTCTAAACGTGTCTACCCATATGAAAAATACAATATGAAGTAGACGATACAATATTAGGTACATATTTTTGCTATTAGTTAATAAATAAACGCTAAAAATAAATAAATTGTGAGTCGAGTTGTAATGCCGTATGTTCTCGTCCTGAAATGCATTTGCGCAGTTAGGATCCCAGCGTTAAGGAGTTCGGCGCAGCGCGCGGTACTGCAGAGTCGCCGAAGCCACCGACCAGTACTGACGTAACTCACGAGAAGAAAACGTAATTTTGTGGAAATGGAAGTTATATGACATTGGCTTTCCTCTTCGGCTCCCCACTGCTGAATAGCAGTGGGGAGTCTACACATGGAGGTGAGTACCTAATTCTCGCTCATTTTTTATCAGTTACAGTTTCAGTAAGTTCGCTACAAGGCAAGACTGCACGGCTGGTGCGGTGGATGGGCCCCTAGCTGCAAGCAACGTGTTGTGGGTTCGATTCCCGCACGAAGCAACTCTTTGTGTGGTCCACAGACTGTTGTTCGGGGTCTAGGTGTCATGTGTATGTGAACTTGTATATTTGTAAACGCACCCACGACACAGGAGAAAATCTTAGTGTGGGGCAACGTATCTTAAAAAAAAGTAGGATAATAAATATGAGAATAAATTGTTTTACTAACATGTTTTTTTGTCATCAGGGGTCCCTACTTCTAACGAAGACGAGGCAGATGTTTTGGAGTAGCGAAGGGGCTTTACTAGTGAAAATGCAAGCACCCTTCGCGATCCGTGTACCGAGACCCTAGTGAAATTGCCGGGAAAAACAAACAAACAACAGCTGGGATACATGGATCTAAAACAACAATCGTAATCTTCAATCAAGCTGGAATCACAGCGTTTTCTGTAGTTTGCAACGATACACATCGCGGGAATGTGTATCCGAATTATTCATGTAGAATTCTGTCTCTGTCAAAGCTATTATTGTATTGTGTATGTGTCTCATGCAATAAATAGCCCTTGAATTAAATTATTGTTTTATTTCAAAAATCCTTATACACATAATCACAAACTCACACACTCAAGCACACATATACAAACACACGCGCGCGCGCACTTAAACATATTCTCTCTCATAGACAAATAGACGCCCACAAACAGGTGAACAAACACGCACATAAGCATGCATAAACGTAATAATACATCAAACACATACACACGCGATATCACGAACTCACGAGCTCGCGCATACACAAACACACCATACACGTACCCGATCGCAAATATGCGTGACTGGTGCTGAAAATCAGCAGCTGTAGCTCAGGCTCGAGTACACAGTGACTCGAGCCCGAGCTACAGCATTAAGCTGAGCTCCCGTCTTTTGGGCTGCAACGCACCATGTAATTTTTTTGTTTATACCTATGTCCGGTTTGCTGTGTAAATGTCTGACGTGCGTAACAAACAGTTTTTTCTTTCTTTCGTACTTTTCTACCCTCACCCCTCTTTCTTTTCCTTCTATTAATTACGCTAGCTAAGGAGGTGGAGGAAGGCATGAAGGAACAAACCTCTTCACTGCGGCGGCTCCTTGTCAACCGCTATAAGAGACGGACCAACGGACAGGGCGATACAATACAACAAGCGATACAATCCCACGATTTTGGCTATTTTGTGCAAAACAGTGACATTTAAGACACCTGTGCCTACAGCCCTAGATTATAAGTATGATGTACTTTCTTAGGTGAGTATCAATAAAACAGTAGGCCAATATACGTGCGTTTATTAGGATGCACAAATCGATACTAATATATTTAGGAATACACCTATGACTTATACACTAGACAAATGACATCATACTTATAATCTAGGGCTGTAGGCACACACCGTTCCTGATATTCAGTTAGGCATAAATACCTCGATACATGACGTCGAAAATGACAAACCGAATGACTGTTTGGGCGGAAAAATTAGGCTATTAATGCAAGTGAAATAATATCACCGAAGCGATTTTAAACTGTGTTTTTAAGTGTTACCAATGAACCTGTATAGCAAATTAGGTCAGGCCCTAGTGATCGCATTAAAGAAAATCATGATAAAAATAAGGATTGGTTTGACAGACATCAAAGGTCATCAAGGGAACATAAAGATGCGAGTGTGGTATGGGTGGTAAGAGCTATTGATCCGGGGTCAGGGCAATCGAAGAGGCTAGAATCCGAATGCCATGGGTCGCATCGAATGAAAAGGGTTGTACCCAATAACAGGTTCCTTATAGTAGACACACCGCTAATACAGGAGGAAGTATATGGGAATGTAGTACCTATTGATATAATTGACCCCTAGATAAACCTTGATGCACAGACATATTCATTTAGTGATGAACATACCTAGTCATATTAAAATAATTAATAAATGATTACTAATAGGTTAGTGAATGAATAGCAGTTGAGTGACTAATTTAGTTCGTGAATTACATTGTTATATAGTCAAAGAGTATAATAAGTATAGGGGATTATATAGTATTGATGGTTATTTACTTGAGTGTATTTACTCATATTTACTTTTCGCACAGAGCTTAAGTGTACGCATGAAGTGTGAAATGACAGACCATGCCACGCGACGGGTATCAAATTTATATAGGTACTCTTTGATCAAAGTAGCCAGGTAGCCACAAACCTTTCAAGACACTACGTCCGCCTTTTATTCAACGCCCTTGATGGTACCCCATAGATATATAACAATCATATCAGTGTGGTACCCCCTATACTTACTTTTTGATGGTACCACTGATATTGATAATGTAATATATCTATGGATGGTACCCATGTAGGTATTAACCTATGACCTTACCTCATTTCTAACGAAGTGCAACATATTTCTTTTTCAGAACATTAAGAATTATGTCAATCCAAAGAGTATATGTAAGAGTATATTGTCAATCTTACAACAGTGATGTCAGTTAGTAAAATAAACGTATTTCTTTTGCACATTTCACACATAATAATGATTTAATTCGATGTTGTTTATCGAATACAATGTCTTCTCATATTTATAAGTATTTAATTGTTTGGATAGTTTGCTCACTCCTTATGATCCAAACAAAAAAACCAAGCGGCAAGCGGCAACAGATTGTCTGGCGTCTTGAATGTGAGCTGGGCATCATTTCCGATAGTGACTGTCCTATTGATGGAGGGTGGTCTGCCTGGAGCTCATGGTCTTCATGTCAAGGCCCTTGTGACGACGTTGGACACCGCCACCGAACAAGAGAATGTATTAACCCGCCACCTTCTCAAGATGGTACACCATGTAGTGGGCCAGACGAACAAACAGATGTCTGTTACCTTACAAACTGCACTGTCAATGATTTTCGCGAACTGGTCAAAGGTGACTCGGCTAGAATGGAGGCGCTAAATCAACTTGAAGCTGTCCCTGCCTTAATGGAACGCTGCTTACAAATGGAATGCCCCTTTGAAGCAATTGAGGCCGCTCTGGCTTTTGATAATACGTGGCAACTTAATTCAGAGTCCTTGTGGAACTCGTTACAATGTGTGAAGCGTAACCTGGGTTGTCCGGTGATAGGCGAGTGGGGAACGTGGGGTTCCTGGTCTTCTTGCGGTGCTCGATGTGGACGCGGTTTAAAGTGGAGATTACGGAGATGTGATACGCCAGCACCTTCGGATGCGCGTCTTGCTTGCGCTGGCTCTCCTCTTATAGCAGATGTTTGCGTAGGCGATCAATGTGCTATTACCAGCAAAGATTCTGGAGGAAGTTGGGGTGAATGGAGCTCTTGGTCGTCGTGCTCAGAAAAGTGCGGAGCCGGAGTAAGACGTCGAAGAAGAGTTTGTCATGAAACTGACACTCTGCCGGCCTCCGGAACGTGGGGTACACACTGTCGGGGACAACACGATCAGTTAGAGGTTTGTGAAAATGGCTTTTGTTCGCTGGATGGTGGATGGTCTGGTTGGGGAAGCTGGGGACCTTGCTCACAAACCTGCGGAGCTGGCAGACGGGCTAGAACAAGGACCTGTACTAGACCAATTCCTCATGGCAAAGGATCGACTTGTGTTGGCCCTAAAACTGAAGTTGGCTCCTGTCATTTCTATCCTTGTGAAATATATTCTCATACAGTTGCCATATTTCATGGTGAATCGTCTCTTCATTATAACCTCGAAAATAAGCGTGCCACACTTTATCAATTCTATATGAGATTTATGCCCTTGTCACCGCATGGAACATTGGTCCGTAGAGAAGCAGGTCAAAATTCTTTCGTTCGGCTAAGCCTACAAAAATGGCATGTTTGTCTAGATGCGTGTGGTTCCAGTCGGTCGTGTTGTCTGCCTAGGACTTGCTCACACACAAACTTCGAACCAGCAACTTGGCACACCGCTCTACTGGCTGTGACGGGTGAAGGAGCTGTGTTGAGGCTCAATGAAGCCGTCGTGCCATTAAAGGTCGCATGGCCTTGTGACCCAGATTTGCCAGATGATAAAATGAAAATTTTTGTAGGAGAAAGATTTCACGGACAAATTCAGGAATTAATTTTAAATTTTATTCCCTTAAATATGATCATAAGCCGCAATCAGAGATCTAGAAAAAGCGATTTTCATCCGATTGCAGCTTCAAATATTGCATATGAAAAAGCGAATACGGAAGAAGCATACATGCATATCAACAATGATCAGTATTTACGTCTACCTTGTTTCATAGATCAACAGAGCTGGCGCCTGGAACTAACTTTAAAAACCAATAAAGAAGCGGGGACTATTTTATTTCTGAGAACTGAAAGAAGCACCAATTGGTTACATTTATATTTGCAAAATATGAGATTGAAGATGAAGTTAGCCCTAGGTAATTTTCGAACAGAGAGTAGTAGTACATCGGATTGCGCATCAGAACAATGGCTCAACGTTACTATTTCCAAAAAACAAGATACAAACGCAATAGAAGCTTGTATCAATGCAGGAGAACGATTACATGTATTGTTCGAAGAAGTTGCTCGTAAAAGACGTGATTCGTTAAAAACCACAACTCCAACCACCGCCTCAGTCAATACGTCTACATCAATCTCAAGTAAGCCAACAATAAAACCTGAAAATATTGAACAAACACAAGACCTCCCATTTTCTTTGTGCTCTGACGAATTCTTCGTCGGTGGGATACCAAATAACTTAATAAGCCATCTAAACGAGGAAATTGTTCCGTTTTATGGAGTTATAGCATCTATCAGGGAAAATGGGGTCCTATTAGATTTACATGGTTGTAATATGGAGAGATATAAGGAAGACAAAATTCAAGTCTCCTCAAGATCTGCAAGTATATCTGGATCTTACCACGAAACAGCGTGGGGTAAGTCTAACAGGCTGAATCTAACGTGCCTTCATGCAAGAACATCTCGATCTCCACATGAAGCTAGCTGGCTATACTTAGATACAGCTATGGATACAAGTACTTTGAAAGCAAAATCTGTGAGATCAGTTAACGATGGACGAGTTCTGAGACTCGTAGCTACAGCTGACCACGATCTTAGAGGTTTCTACACATGTCGTGCGCACAGCAACAGACGTACTCAGAACATCGTTACTTATGGTGTTCTAGGCAAGATTCAATATAAACTAACTGGCCCTGATACGACCACAGCAATCGCTGTTATCACAACTCTAGTTCTCGTAATAAGCACACTAACTTGGCTTGTCATTGAATGTATTCATGATGTTAGGAGCGGTTATGGTTTCTTTAGAGATGCGCACCTGTCTCCGAAGGAAGAAGCTGAAGCGGTGTGTGAATACATTGATCTCAACATAAACTTACTGTGTTCGAAGAGCGACGCTAAAGTGGCTAAGGCTCGAGCGAGGAAGAGAGGTAGACAGTTAGTGAGCCGATCAAATTTCGCTGCTCAAGAGCCGCAAGGATTAATGCAAGAAAGTCTACATCCGGAGCAAAGTGATAACACGTTGAGCGAGCCCGAGGGGTTACCGGCATTACCTGAAGTAAAGAGCTCTAGACCTGAACCATTGCACAACGTGTATAGCAGTGTGTATAGGGTAGAACCATGTTATGCGAGTTCGCCACGTCCAGATTCAACATCGACCCCAAAACTGAGAGCAACGTCAACATCTTCATTCGAGTTGGTTTCCCCAAGAGTACTTTGCTCACGCCTTCTAATGCACAAACGCACATCATCCAAAGAAAGTTTCTATTCCAAGAAGAGTTCGGCTCGCGGCGGATTTACAACACTTCGTAAGAAGAAGGGAAGTCTGGTGACTATAAAGTCTTCTGTCTTTGTTGCCCAAACTCCTGCTCAAAAGATTCTGCAAAGGTTTCAAAACCTAAAAGGCGAGGATAATTAGATTAGATAATATTGTTTTGTTTTTCTAATGATTAGTTTCTATATAATATTTTGTCTGTTCTGAAAATTAGGTTTAGTTATTTACTTACTTCTGTTAACTTATGGTGCATTCACATCTGGTTAATGCATCATACGCACGCCATTTTGGCAGACTTGGACGCGTCTTTTAGATTGTGTACATAATTATGTTAGAAAAATAAGTTGGTAAGATGAAGAAATAATATATAAGTTATTAAAGTAGGTTAACAAGTAATTGTAATATTGCATTAATTGGTAAATACAAACTCAAAACGAATGTGTTGTCTACATGTTTATTTGAAATAACCATTGAAATTAAAATAAACTAGGCCCATTTATTTGGCACTTATTCAATTCGACATGATAAAAATAGCATTACAAAAATAAATGGCACCAAATACATTGTAAAACAATTATTACTCTCAGATTATTCTAATCTAATCTAAAGAAGATTGATAAACAATAATAATCGGGAGAATATTAAAGGAAACATTAAATACAGTTATTTTAATTGTCTTTTCATGCTAAGTTCACATAATATTCATACCGGTGACAGTTGCTGGAAGTTTCATGTCTTTCTGTAAAACTACCAACATTTTGTAACAGGGTACATTTTTGAAGTTTATCTACGTGATCCTAATCATCATTATCATGGTAGGGATTTATAAACTTCGAAAATGGTTGAATAACAAACAACAGTTTCTTATAACTGTTATCTAGTGATTGGGAGTGACATAAAAGGACATAAGATGTGTTCGAATTATTTATATTAACATAATTTTTTACCCTTTGAGAGCCAATAATGGCGTAATGTAGCGTAGAGTCCTATTTGTCCAATTGCTGTTAACAGGTTTGACATTAGGAAATTAACTGGAAATGTGGTTTGAAACTAGTAGAGCTTTTCTCAGTATATTCACATGAGTAACCCGCGATTTTTAGTTAATTTAGGAAATTATCTATTGGACAAAGAGGACCTTACACTACACTCGCCTTCAAACATCATTTGATAATTTAATATTATGGAGATTTAGCTTAAACATCCATTAGATACCATTGAAAATCTTAGAGTTAAACAATGAGTCAAATGTCTTAAAAACCGTGAAGATTTAAATAAAATTATAAGCTATTATGATATTATAAGTGAAAAGGTGTAGATACTAGAACCTATCTAGGTTACCTAAACAATATTCGCTCTTCAAAAATGGCACACATGAATACGTAGACGGCGCCTGACTGCTTCATACGACTACATACGACTGCTGGGCAACGTCTTGAGTTCGATTCCAGAGTCGGGCAAAGTATTACTGGGTTTTTAAAAACATCTCAGTAGTAACACGGAGTCTGGAATTGTACCCGGTATATGGCAATGGGCTCACCCCCTATAACATGCGACTCATTACACAAATAGTGAAAAGTGGGTGTTGCATTGTACAGTGGCGTTATGTGCACCTCTGCCTACGCCTTCGAGGATAAAGGGCGTGATGTTATGATATGTCAGGTAAACGCATCGCGACACTAAGGTCAAATGTGGCTGGTTAGCCACTTTTTTACGTTACATTTGCTAGATTCTAACCTATCTACACCGGTTTACTTACAATATCATTAGCCAACAAGATACAAGAATACGACTAAAATTCTAAAAAATCGAAAATGTTCTACGTTCTACATAATTTGACAAGATTATTCAAAGCCAATTGGATAGTGACTAGAATAAGGATAGCAAGATATAGTGCTAGTTATAATAATTGTAGAACTACTCGTGTCAAAGATAAACTAAGATATATTATTTAAATATCTCTAATGTGTTAGGAATATTTAGTTCACTGGTTTGGCAAGAGAAGCGAGGATAACCGATAGAGTACAAACATAAAGTAATTGGTTTACCAATGGTTCATGAATTGCCCTGACACAAGGAAAATATAATGTGTCTCATTTACTACTACTACCAACATATGACGAGTTCATCAAAGTGATGGGATAAACACAATCAATAAGCAATTGTTTGTTGTTTTTTAAATTTCTGTAACAAATGCTAAATAGACAATAATATTACAAGTAAAGCCATAAATTAGATAATTACACATATATTATACGGTTATACACCTTGTCTACACCTTGGAATGAGCAAATAGCTTCACTTTAAAGTTTTTTTTGACGTTCAAAAGTGCCATTCTGGCCTAATTGAAATAAATGATTTTGACTTTGACTATAAATTCCATACAAACTATAATTTAAAATACTTTCCTAGCGTGTTTCGAAATACAGTTGGTGCATTCCTAAATTCCTTAGCATTCTTAGTTATAAACCAGCGAACATCAACTAGCATTATACTATAACAACTTTAAATATAATACAACAATATAATTTTACATTCAAGTTTTAACATTCAATAATTCCATCTACAAATATTGCATTATACTACGGGAGGTAATATAGAAGACATTTGAATAGAGGATTTAAACTGTGTGAATAATAACGCAGAAATCCGAAAAATGCTTTAACAATTTTGCTACCATCTGATATAGTTACATACGCATCATATATAAATACAAGATTTACCATTAGAGGCATCCATAAATTACGTGAGATCTTTAAAGGGGGGGGGGGGGGGGTTCACTTAAATCTCATCTAATCTTACGTTGGAAGGAAATATCTCAGCAAATATCACGTAATTTTTATTCTGATTGAAACAAAAAAGAAATTAATACCATTTATTCCATTTTATCTAGATTGTACATGCTTAAGATTTAATTACACATAGGTACGCACGGATTTTTTTTCTTTTTACCATAATAATCTAACACGTTTACGTGAAAATCCAACATTTTGAAAAATCTCACGTGAGAATGTCACCAGGGCGAGGGGGGAGAGAAAATTAAAAAAAAATCACCTCACGTAATTTATGGACGCCCCCTTACGGTCTATCAATGTATGCCCGATAACATTATTAGCCTATTTTTTTTTCGTAAGGGGGGAAGATCATCGAATGACTGCTCCCGCCTGGGCGAGGCGGGAGGGAGTGTCAGACTCTTACTGACTAAAAACCACCCCGTTCCTTCTCCTGCACGTCGAGCCGGAGCCCCGGTTACCCGTTAGGTTCTCCGCGACATTATTAGCCTATTAGCTCCACTACAAAGCAAAGGACTCTTCACACAAGGAAGGAAAAAGCATTAATTATGAAGCCAAGGGTACTCTAAGGCACAAATGTCCTGCGACACGTTTTACCAGCGACGTTCAGTGAAGTGATGTTGCCAGACTTCACACGAGATTTCTGGCAACATTGCACGACACAGGTCTCCTCCTCGCGCTGTCACCATACATCGCGTATGTCAGGCAAGTCTCGTAAAGTCGCTAGATTTCGTCTGACGTCGCTGTGGACGTAAGTCGTGCGTTGTCACCATATGTGTACGTCAGGTTCAGCTTGACCATTTTCGCCAATCCATGTCATGGGGCATTTGTCTACTCATATATCCTTGCTTTACGTTTGCTTAGGTGGCTTACTCTTGAATCCAATTCCGATCGACCGACATTGGTATTGCGAAATTTCGTACTCTCGAGTTGCTACACCAGCGCCCATTGCATCCGTATTGCGTGGATATTGAATGAACTAAATGATATTCAGTTTGGCTTTATTTTCCGTACTCTGATGATGCTATTTCAACAGCTACGATAGGGTTGTATAGTTTTGACATTGAATAATTATTGAGATTTTATTGGATTGAAATTGCATTGACGTTGAGATTGGTTTCAAGAGTAAGTACCCTGGCCGGATGATCGACCACAAGCTTATATTATTAGATAATACTATAAATACAGAATAACGTATGACTCAGAAAAAAGTAGGTCTAGTTTCGAAAATTAAAACTTTATATAAGTAAGACAAAGGTTCAATGAACTTCTCCGTTTTTATTCACACTGTTTATGATACAGCATCCTTGCTTAGCCAAACAACATGTACAAAATACTTTTATATTCCTTTTTCTCTCTATTTTTATGTATAACAGTGCTTAAATATTTTATTAAAAACTAGCGAGGATTTGTGCGATTACATCTATGTTTTTCAATTCCAATGTTTCATTACAGTTATGTATAGTAGGAACACTAATTAACCCTAGCAAAATGGACTGGGATAAGGCAATAACTCATACGTTTTAGTTACAATTTGCAGTTTATTACATTTCATTGATTTTGTACCTCTTTAGGGTTTGAATCTTACAATTTAGCACTACGATGCTTAACGTGCTTATCTATTTACTTTTCTATATTTAACTAACGTTGACTATCTCTGTGCATCACTAAATGTATTAGTAAGCTTCTATCGGAAAATCGACGCCATCGACGTTCATTTGTTTGTTAATACTTACAAATATTTTAATTTCGTAATTACTAAGCATATTCTCACTATAATTTTTCGATATTCAAGCCTAAATAACGAGTCAAATGCGAAACATTCAAAAATGCCTAATACGAGCATTATCATTTACACAATGTGCAAATGATACTTTGTCAAAACGCTTTCTTAAAAATCGACTTTATTACAGCACAGATAACGTTTTAAATCTTCTGTTGATGAAATGTACTGACGTCTTTACGGCTCATTTTGGACAGTTTGTATTATTAACTGCTACTCAATATTATGTACATTAGGTACTTTCATGGATAAAAAGCCAGTTGGGCTAGTTTTACAGTGTAACGTGCACGGACAAATGAACCTTATTAATCATTTTATACGATCGTAAATTCAACGATAATTTCAATCTATTCATACCAGCATGGATTATATAAATTATTACGTAATAATTTTATAAATCTTTCCATACAATTTTCTGTCTTATGTCCTTTGTTATAAGGATGTCATTTCCATAACAGGTTTGTCATAAGTATGTTGCCTCTACGGCCAAAAAGTGTACACATATGTATAATTCATACAAAAATATAACAAATATACAGTATTCCGTTATGGCACTTATTCTCTGACTATTTATACTAATTTTGAACTTTAAGTTTGACTGTTTAAGCTTCGAATTTGCTTGGTGTTCTCGTTGACATAAGTATCAAAGAGCTATTAATTTTTTAGATATTTTTGGTTTGCATAGCTGCCGTGAAGATTTTGCATAAACTAAAGGAATGCTTAGAGATTAGCCATGTTGATTAAAATCATTCGCTATATGAGTATAATTAAATAATAATTGTAAATCAATAAATTAATTTAAAATATAAAGTTGCAATTGCAATGGGTACAATAAAACATTTCCGAGTATAAAACCGTTGCAGAATAATTTAAATATAGTCAATATAAATTAAATAGGCTATGTTTAAAAAAACCGACTTCAAAAACGTAAAAGCAGTCAGTGACAATTATTTCGGTATTAATTACCTAACAATAGGTTGAAAGTTGACACCAATAATATATACGGCATATAAATACTTCTTTCATAAAGTACGTTTAAAAAAAACCGCCTTCAACCCCCTTACACTAAAACCTTTTAAGTGTCACAGATATTTTTCTGAAAACCGTATTATAATCGATTCAGCCTATCGCGAGATAATCGAGGACAAACACATACAAAAAGATCAATTGAGAATATCCTTTTTTCTATGAAGTTGCTTGGAAATCGAATCATAAAGTTCTTTTGTTACCTACCCTGCTCTGTTTTTGAAGTCGGTTTAAAAACTAATGAGAATTTTCAATTTGAGTTGCAATAAAATCCAAAATCGGATACATACGCAATTTCGCATTCTAAAGAGTATTATAAATAGTTAAAAAGGGGAGGTGTACGAGTAATTTTATCATGTACTGATAGAGTAGGAAGAAAAGATGATTATCTAAGAATAGAGAGATGAATAGTTCTAGAATGTTCTACAATAAGGGGCTTGATAAAGTTACTCTTAATTTAATAATTCATATTGTGAAACAGATCTAAAACGTTGTACAAGCCCACATGTCGTTGTTATAACAACTTGGTTCACAATTATGTAGTTGTAGGGTATCAATTTTTTACTATCTATATAGCAGTATACAATACATAATTCAGGGTGTAATAGGAACGCTGCCGAAAAATGCCGACAAATGATGGGCAAAGACTAGTTTCATTCATATAAAAGTAAGGAATTAAATGTATCTTTTATGTAGGTAATAATAGTTGTAATCAACCGCTAAAGGCTGATGTTGCATGAAAAAAAATGTAAACAAAATCGATCAAAACTAAAATTGTAAAAACTATATTTTATATCAGAGTTTTTCAAGAGCGTTACTTTAACACCCCGTATACACGTTGGAGCAAAGAACTGGGGCCACTAGCGTTTTATTTTATTTAATCGAACGATCTACAACAAAAAAAAATTAGTAGGTATTATATTTTACCAACAAAAGGCATAATTTTAAAGATAACTAAATTGCCAGTTATACGACATACGTGACTAATGAATAAAATACATGTATCAGGGTATATTTATTAAGAAATGAAAAAGAAAAAAGCTAATGGTTTCGTTTCTTTGCAACCAAGTGTAGTATTATAATAATATGTACACGCATGCAGGCATGTCAAACGATTATTAGTTCTGCTTTAGCGAATCACCTACGAGCGCTAGCGTGGCCTTATCACATACTTATCATAACCGAGGAACATTTAAAAAATTATGTTCTCACTAGCGGCCAGTCTTTATAACGCATTTATATTTTAAGTTGGTTTTTATACAGAGATTGTGTTAAAAATCTATCTATAGACACCACACGATGGTTGCTTAGGCGCTGTAGAATCTAATATTACAATAAATAGTTACGGCAAGGTAAAACAATTGTCACCTGCCCTACACTTCTCCGCGGGTGTCGTTGAAGCCGATTAAGGGGCTAAATATTTAACTAGACTAGGCAGCTGTGTTCTCTGATAATCTGTACCATTAGTACGAATTTCTTATACGTTTACCGAGAACATTCAGCGCTCTGATTGGCCGCCTTCAATGAACCAAACAATCATAACGCCGAATGCGGTTCTCGTTTCTTTCCTTCAACCGTGGAGATAATGGCTATCTCTTTTATACAGGAGGTCCAGTTCACTCTCAAGGACTTTCGATAAAGAAGATAAATATCAGATAGTTTGTTTAGACTGGCCGTATGTGAAATAGTTCTGTACCTATTATAATATAGCAAACCTAATCGGAATGGTTGTGTTGAGCGATAGACTTTCTTCGGGACCGGGTCGGTGGTTGTGGGGTGCTCGACTTCTTGTAGTAGATGGCTGTTCCCAGCACTGCAGAGCTCAGGAGTGTTGACACCAAGAAGTTCAGCAACAGCTTAAAGTCTGCCGAGTCCACGTAGACCGTGAATATGCGAGCTGGAAGTAGGTAAAGTTAAGTGTAAATCATCACCAATCATCACCAATCATCAAAAGTAGGTACATTTATTTCTTTACTTTCAAAACAAGCTTATAGGCAGCTTCGATTTTATAGTCATGCAATTGGGTATTTGGTACTTCCTTTAGTAAAAAAAAAATATTTTAACTGTTCAATACAATCAATTATTAAAAAATAATCACACTTTCATTCATTGATTTTATGACCAACTTAATTTTAGTATTTTTCCAGCAAATATTTAAGAAAGAAGTATGCTGTTTGACGCTAAAAAAAACGTGACGTCACAATACGCAATCCCGTACAAAATTCATAGAAAACTGTCGTAAAAAGCATTGAATTTGACTAAAATTTCAGCTCAATCAGTTGAAGATATCTGCTACAAAATTTAGTTGCAAGATTCCACTTCGGACACATACATTTATACACAAAATACGTATAATGCATCTATACAGATAACTAAACTAAGAGTGTCTGTTTGTAATATTAAAATAACCGCTTTTTACTACATGCTTATATGAATATACATACGATACTTAAACCAAAATAACATTTATTACAATTTTGTCTGTCTGTCTGTCTGTCTGTTTGTACTGGGTTATCTCTGGAATGGCTGGACTGCTTTAGAACGAACTTATATTGGCAGTTAGCTGATGTACCAAGGAGTAACATAGGCTACTTTTATTATGAAAAAATTGAAACAAAAAAAATCATATTCGACGCTGACGAAATCGCAGGCTAATGTTAAATATAATCTTATAAACACGCTGCTTCCCAATCAGATTTCATCCTGTTACACATCCGCATTTACAATCGTCACAATATCACATGCACATTTCAACCAGACCCGGATACAATTAGTAGTCCACAATGCGCAGTAGCTGGTCACCCAGACAGGCCAGACACTGCGCCAACAAATAGTGTTGTTAATGACAATGGTCCGGCTAGTGCTAAAGATGTACAATTATTATATTACTATTATATATAGCGGAAAAGTTTGTTATTTTGTTTGTTTGTTTGAACGCGCTTAAACTGTCAAACACCAAGCGGTCACCGGTGACCGCAACCTATTGTTCTATAATTGTGTCTACAAAACCGGTACTCGACGAGTTAACTCTGTAACTACAAGTCTGATTTGAATAATTGTTTTTGTGTCGGATAGCGCATTTATCGAGGATGGCTATAGGCTATAAAACATCACGTTACGACCAAAAAGAGTTGAGCAGAGCGTGTGAACCCGCGCGGAAGTAGCTAGTTGTATTATAAAGCTTGATAAATGTCTTATTTTATTTAGTTTTATCTGCAGGGTATTTCATAGGTAAGTATGTACCTTCATAACACCACATTTTACTTTTCCTGGCGAAGAAGTCTTTTTCTATTTAGAAAAATAAAAAAAGCAATAACTATCTGTCTCTCTGCAAATAAAATTCTAGCAAAGAGTTTTCCTGTTTAGTGTTTGTAGTGTTAGTTGACATAACATACCATAACATCACGCCTTTTATCCCCGAAGGGGTAGGCAGAGATGCACATTACGCCACTGTACAATGTAACACCAACTTTTCACTATTTATGTTATAAGTCTCATTTATTAGGGGGTGAGCCAATTTCCATATACCGGGCACAATTCCAGACTCCGTACTACTACTGAGAATGTATAAAAAACCTAGGAATACTTTTAGTAGTTTACCTTTTCAGCAAATAACACTACTCACCTAAATTTGTGGAGACGGATATCACCCATGTTGTCAGCGAAACCGCGTCAGAATTCTGTTCTTTGATAATTCCGTAGATGTATGTTACCTTCGCGAAGCCGCTCAGAGGAGTACAAAATGGCTGGAATATAAAACAAAGGAGATTATATAGTAGTCGTAGATATAGTAGTCTACAACTTTAAGCAGAAATATGTAGAATTATCAATGTAAGATAACGCTTGAGACCGAGGTACCTATATCCATAGGTCTGCTATCATTTTTCGCGTGATTGGCATAGTTAGGTTTATATTTTTCTTTTCACGTTTTACACATTAACCTATATATTCAATATCGTTAGTCGACCATTTCTTTCAGTATAAAATAATACATTGTTCATATCGCAAAGCCTAATGACTTTTTATCGAACCTAGAAATCCTAGGTCTAGACAGACCTCTGAGCCGATTACCCGCACTTAAACAACTAGACGACCCAAAATAATGACTTCCAAAATATTTACGAAGAAGTGTATCTCATAAAACATAATATCTTTTCAATATTAATGACCTTAAACACAATACCAATAAGAAAATACAACAAAAGATCACAAAAGGTCAGGTCTCTAATAAAATTGGCTAAGGAAATTACAAGAGCATAGCATTAGATGCGAATACTTGGCAGTGAACGGTCTGTTAGCTAGTTGATATAATTCCCTGAGGATGTCGACAATCAAAGCCCCGGCTCTCGATTAGCATCGCATCGCTTCACTCAACCACCGCTAACAAGCTGACAACTGAAGTTCAAGTGTAATTGTATACTGTGTTTCACGTTGCGAATAACACGTGAGATAGAAGGTCAGAGGTCAAGATATAATGGTGCTTTCCTCTACTCCAAATAACAGAAGGAAACAACAACAGAAAAGTAAAAAAAAAACTGCGTTTAAAAAACCGATTTCAAAAACTACGAACAAACGAAAACAAAACAAAATAACTATTATTGGTCATTCGTACTTATAGCTTAGACACCTACTGATAGGTGAGAAGTCGGTGCCACAAACCCATGACAAAATATCCGCCGCCGTCTACCCTTACAAATAAAAAAATAAATATACAGTCGAATGAAAATACACTTATCCGTCTTAGTAAAACCTACACTATAGAGACAAACACATCGCAAAATCAAGCTTCACCTTTGCCCGAAGCAATTGAACTCATAACCTCATTTAATTTTAATTCATCAAAAGGAAACCAATGCGTCTATTGCGACTCATCAATCCATCATGACACGAATGCAGTATATAAGCAAATTGCATATAAACAAGGGTCTATGTAGTCTCATAATTACTATGTACTCAGTATCCAATTTCACCAGCCAAGTGAGCTATTGACGAGTCATTGGCATATTGTAACAAGGCATCAACTGTTTGAGTACTGTCAATTGAGTGCAACGACTGACGCGATGCATAATAACATGCAATTAGGGTACAAAGTGACAATGTTGTCACTTGTACCGTTTCCTTTCAATTGATAGTGGTTCGGACCTATTTGTAACTGATTAGAGACACTGGTTGGGTGTAGCATTTCACTGTTGGAATCGAATCGCTAAGCAAGGTGTCTTATTACGGTATGAAGTGCCTAATTTAGCAATCCTTACTAATATTATAAATCGGAAAGTGAGTTTGTTTTTTTGTTTGTTCCGCTTTCACGCCGTAACTACTAAACCGATTGCTTTGAATTTTTGCAGACGTAAAGTTAGAAATCTGGATTAAATAATAGGGTACGTTTTATCCCGGAAAAATTTGATATTCCCGAGGGAAAACAAAAGTATTGGTATAGATGGCGCTGTGTGTATTGGTATATGTCACATAGGCTACTTTTTATCCTTTTGTGACGCGAGCGAAGCCGCGGGTAAAAGCTAGTTTGCAATAAAAGCGTTAAGTCTGAACTTATTCCTCATGAAGGAAAGGCTCACTTCTTCTCGATATCTACTTAACATAGGTATACTGACCGATTTCTTCCAAAATATAATGTTGTACCAATATCAATCAAGATGCCACTCGCATGCGTCCTGTATACAACACAATTTAGAACCTACTAAAATGTTCATAAGATACAAACCAACGGATCACTTTAATTTCTAATCAATTCTTACAGCAAAAATCTGCGAAATTAAGGTCATTAATGAAGGGACAATCTATGAGTCACTCATATCTAGTACATAAATTAGTCTTTATCAAATTATCACCAGCGCTGTGTTCATATCAAAGGATTAACATATTACACTTTACAGTATGTTATCTTAACTGAACACAGGACACTGTGTGTATACCTATATTCAACTAACACGTGGAACTGAGAATTTTATTGAACAATACTTATGAAAAGTATGAGAACGCATAGTTCTGAACTAGGCAACACGTGGCACTTACAGGGCGCTGTTATGCACCAGAAACGTGGACTTTCACAACTCGTGCTTCCCTCTTCCATGAACACTTTTAGGGATATATTCTGAATGTTAAACAAACTTTTTCTTGAACTCCTTAGCAAACGGTGGCACGAGACGCATTTGAGCGATGAAAACTAGAAGGGCGAAGTGCAATAAAATATCGATGAACATACTTTTTCGAGAAACTTTTACATACATATTTGCACGATCAACCGAAACATAAGATTTAATATACCATCTTATTAATTATCTGTCGTTTCTATCCACTGATTTTAACGTATTGTACTTTAACTGTGATGTTAGTAACTAGCATATAATTGGATTATGAACAGCCGATGCAAAATGAATTATGACTGAGTGGGTGACAGAATTATTAACAGTAAATACACAAACTGGCCAATATACGGCTAAAATAATAGCCTGGAATTGTGTTCGACCCAGCCTCTGGCAATAAGTTCGCCCTCTAAACTTTTACAATGAAGCAAAAACTAGAGAAAAATAGATGTTCTGTCTAATCCGAGACCTAAGATTCACGTGTTTCTCAGAACAAAGGAGTTTGAAAATTAAGAAAGGTAGTCTATACAAAACTGACAGTGGCAAGCGAAGCTTTGCATTAAAATCAGTCGACCATAACACTTGTAACTAAGCCACGAGTATCTTGAAAACCAAAACATTTCACACGGGTGCATTGGAAGTAAAATAAAACGAAAAGGTTTTATTCTAGAGGTAAATATCTTCGTAACACGTGGAAGCATTCTTTTGGTCGTGCTTAAGCCGAGCAAAAGAAGCAGCATCCATAGCATAAACGGAACATTCAAGTTTTATATTAAAAACTAGAATACAACATTGAATGCCATCTTCAAGCATTTGGACACTTAAATATACAAGTCTTTCGTGAAAACCACAACGAGGCGATTTAGTTTACAAATTTTATTACTTATTATTATGTAGTTTATTTACATCTACATAACTAATTAAGTATACCCATATTACCCAAGTGGCGACGGCAGAATTAAATACAATATTGACCACGACTACTGTTCCCGCGGTTGCCGCGAGTCGATTTAAGGGACAACATATTTAACAAAGACTAAGCAACAGTGATCTCTGTTAAACCTAATCTTTTTAAACTACCATAACCAACCTATTTTCTAAGCGTGGAGGTAATGACAAACCTCTTTTTTGTAGAGGAGACCCATACGTAGTCCAATAAAGGACTCTACCGGATTGTTGATGATAAAATGGAAAGTTGAGCGTCTCACAGGTTAATTAAAAAAAAATGTTCTGCTATACAAAAAAAAATATAGATGAAACTTAGGTATAATCTTACCAACTTTAAATTCTATACTGTATAGATAATAATACAAATTCTATACTGTATAGATGATGTAGGTATAGACAAGAATTGAAAAGGGAATGTTACGCTGGTTTGGATATGTAAAAAGAATGGATGAAAGTAGAGTAACGAAAGAAGTATACAGAGCGGATATGAATGGGGCCGTCGGTAGAGGGCGCCCTAGACGGACATATAGTGACCAGATTGGCGATATATTAAAGAAGGGCCAAATTAAAAGTCTCTGCCTACCCCCATGGGAGACAGGCTTGAAGTTATGTATGTATGTGTGTATACATAAGAATAATCACATCTAATCGAATAGAGGAATAGGCACGCCCAATCGCCCGTTGTAAAATCAAAAAAGCCACAATCCTCGATAGAATATAATTAAAACTTTACGACTTTTTAATCGAAACAAAAACATCGTACCTATATCGCAACATTGTAAGACTATTTTATGTATATTTTGGCACAGTATCGATATAGGCTAAAAAGGAATCTCTGGCTCAATTGGAATTCGGAAGGTACCGTTAATACTTTGTTAGCGGCTATTCGTAATAGGTAAATCTTCCGTGGTGGCCCGAAGGTTAAAACGCGGATTCGAAACCAACCAACGGCAAGTATCAATGCAACTTTTCCGAGTTATATGTCCTTTTTAACCGACTCCAAAAAAAGGAGGATGTATTCAATTCGACCGTGTATATGCTTTTTTTAAGATTATTTAAACACCACTGACAAACGGTGAAGGAAAACACCGTGAGGAAACTCGGACTTATAATATCTAATTATAAGTTTGAAATCACTAACCCGCAATGAGCAACGGGATGATTAATGCTCAAACATTCTCCGTGTGATAAGAGGCTTTGCTCAGAAATGGGCACGTATAGGCTGTTGATGATGATAAAATTTTCTTGTTTACAGATAGAAAGAACAAAACGCAGGCTCATACAGGGAAGTACCTAATACTCGTAAATTCATCATTGTCAGGTACACTTACCGAAAATTAATAGGTAATATGGCGACTATCCAATAATACTTATAGTTATAGGTGCGCACATTCTTAATTTATTAGATTACAAATGTTAAAGAACAACGTCGCATCAATTTGGATAGCGACCAAAATAATAGCAGAGGACCAAATATTAATCGCTTATCGCAAATTAATTACGTATCGAGACTATGAAAATAATTTATGTCGTATATGCTAACAATTTCATTTTGAAGATGTTTTCTCATATAGGTAGGTAACTAGGTACGTAATTATGTTTGTATATTGATTATTTTGTGTTCGTGATATTACTAAGATACGTAATGTTATAACGTCATGACTTTTAATTCCCGCAGAGGCTACGCAGAGTTAGAGGTACTCATAAACAGTACCGTCTTTACCATAGGACATTGGGGGCCCGTGTCCAGGGACCAGGGGACCCTGAAGAACCGTCAATTTTTACGACAAACACATACCCGCTACACCCTGTGCGCCAACTGGCTACCCCGCAACGTGTAGCGAGTTCGATAACGAAACAAATGTTTGTATGGTTCACAAATTCTTGTTTCGGGTCTGGGTGTCGTGTGTATATGAATTTATATGTTTGTAAACGCACCCACGATACAAGAGAAAATCCTAGTGTGGGTTGAACGTTGAAAAAAAGGAACATTCCGACAAGCCTCGATTTATTGAGCCCATGGGCCCCAGCAGTCTAAGACGGCCATGCTCATAAAGAATGTAACACTCACTTCCTACCCATTATGGTATGAGTCTCATGTAATAAGGGGTACAATTACATTTTGGGTACAATTCCAGATTTCACGCCGCAAAGTTATGAAGATAATCCATTTCATTTCAGAACCGTATTGTCCCTACTTATTGTTACTAAGGCGAACTAGGTAAGTACTTAGGGCACTAGGTAACAGAGAAACAGAGAGCGCGAGTTGCACGTACCTAATTAGATGAAGAATGGCGGCACCAAAAAAGTTAGGGGCGCCTATAATTTGCTTGCATAGGATACTGTCTAGCTTTATAAATAATAAAACTTTATTCATAATAACAAAAAGGCTAAATTCAAAAATATATTTAAATTACGTACGATTGATCTCAAATACTTAGATGCCTGCACTAGGACAATTCTGTATCCCTGAGTTTTAATCCCTCTCTGATTCATTTTATCAATCAATGTTATAAAGAGAAATATCTTCGTTACTTTTATTCGATTGCATTTAGTTGGCTCCAAAACTGCCGGGCCGGTTTGAAAACATTTAACTTTCAATATTGGATCTCGAGGGGCCACACAACAAAGTAAAGATCTGTATTCTTAAATAAAATTTGGTTTAGAAGGTGGTTTTAAACGCTTGGCAACAAATAATATCATCTAATGAGTCATACGATATCGTCCATTGTAGTGCCTGTACCTCGACCGACGTAACACTTGGTAATGCAAATCTGTTCATATTTGTTTAAAACAAATAATCTAGGAAAACTATAGATAGGTAGGTAAGTACCTCATATTTAACAATAAGTCAAACACAATAGATCAATTTATGGGCATTAAAATATTGACTTTATGTATTTTAAAAAATTCACTTGATACACGGACGGTAATCATTCCGCACATATTAAGTAAAGCATTCATGTTGTATAGTTTACTAGTTGTATAGTGTAGTAGCTGACCCGGCAAATTTCGTACTGCATCACGAAATATTTTTTGTAACGACTGAATGCCTTCCCTGGGCTTCCACGAATATTTCAAGAACAAAATTACCCAGATCAGTTCAACCGTTCTCGAATTTCAGCAACTAACGAACAGAAAATCAGTTTTATTTATATATATATAGGTAACAGGGATAAGCCTATTGCTATGTACCGTAGACGCAATCCCAGACTCCGTGCTATTACTGAGACCGTTTTAAAATCTAAAATAATGCTTTCGACTCCATCAACACTGATCTATAAATTGATACAATAATAATACAGGACTTTGCACACTCGATGAGATAAAATCCTGCATAATTTAAGGTACAATACGTAGGTTTACAATCGCTTACTTATACATTATAAACTCCTTGTCTTATCGATGATCATTCAGCCGGTAAAATTTAATGCGTGTGGACGTCTTGCGCACGTCTAACGAATTAGGTTCGTGTCCTATATTAAATAAACATATGAACTACATACATAATTGATGTAGATGAGAACATTTGCATATAAAACGAATCGATGTGATTGGAAATTCCAAAGTCTCGATGTTGATTGCACTTTCACTTGATTTTAGTCTTAATGAAATTCATTTGGCAGTACCAAGGACAAGTGATTACAGAACCAAGTGATTCAGTAGGTATTAAGTTGGTATAGAAACCCGTGAATCTGTGCATCGGAGAACATCGATCCAGACCCATAGCCGTCGCGGGAGACACTCCGGGCGTCGGAGATCGCCCGACGATCTCTACAGATGGGGTCCAGTAGGGCTGATGCCCGATACGGAGCCGCGGAAGGCCTATCGGTTTGCTGGGGAAATAGGACCAGCTGTAATCGTTGTTATAGAATGACAACATGAATTAATGATAATCAGAATCCCTGAAGATCTATTAACACGTCAAACGCCGCTTCTGGCCGCTTGCGACAGATTTGTCTTCAACGGTTTTCTGTCAGCAGTAATCACTTATAGTGGGTTGTGAAACGCAGGTGAAAGTCGATTCGTGTATGTAACAGAATCTAGTTAAGGTTTAGAATCGTAAAATTATTTGTAAAGCGTCCTTCCCGTAGGAAGGTCTAAGTATTAAGTTGCGATGGTATGATAGGTTCAAACGAGAAAATCATAGACCAAGGGACATTAATAACATTGAAAAGTATTTTTCACGCCAATTTGCAGTAGTAGTAGTAGTAACTAGTTATGTTATATTTAGTCAGTCAAGCTAGCTAAGGAGGAGGCGGGACGCGTGAGGCAGCGTAGCGCTGCCTCCTCGCAACCCAGCCATCACGAAGGACACACCGGGCGTCGGGGATCGCGGGACGATCTCCGGCCACCGTAAGCGCGGGCCTGCGGACGGCGAGCATAGGTGGCTCCCCGTTCGACCAGAAACAGACCCGAGCGTACGGCGCGTCGCGTTCCGCGCGCGCCTCATAGAGCCATCAGACCACCACAGATGGGGCCCAACAGGGCCGATGCCGATTCGGAGTCGCGGAGAACCTAACGGGTAACCGGAGCTCCGGCTCGACGTGCAGGAGAAGGAACGGGGTGGTTTTTAGCCAGTACGAGTCTGACACTCCCTCCCGCCTCACCCAGGCGGGAGCAGTCATTCGATGATTTTCCTCCTTAAAAAAAAATCAAGTCACAGTTCTTTATTTCTTCCTCTGTATTTATGCTTATGTTATCCTGAATAGTGCTTTAATATCACGAAATTATCACTATTTGATCGTCGACTTCCGGGACACATGTATGTATTATGTATGTAGTATAAACTGGTACAAAATATAAAAATTACATAGTGCAAGAAGTTTGTGGTGATCCACATGCTTATTGCAATTCATACGCTAATATGAGCAACGAATGAATCATTATTGTCTACTGGTATATCGTCTAGACTAAACTAATTACGCTACAATATATTTTCAATTGTTGGTATTCCGTATGGTATGGTAACCGTTCGTCATTTCTGTATATAATTTAAAAATTCAAGTATTGCTTTAGACCTAGATAGAATGTTTCCTCGAAGGAGAATACAAGAAAAGTATAATTTAGTTGTAATAGCGAACTTAAACGTTTTCACGTTTGTTTTCGTATAATTGAGTTACAATTATGAAGAAAATCCAAAGTGAATGTAGTTCTGAACTGCATTCACTTTGAAATACACTGATCTAGTAATTGAAAAGATTTAAAAGAACCAACTAGTTCCAGTAGTCATTCAAAAGAATTTTGTTGCTCGTTTCTCGAAAGGAATCTTCACTAAATGAAATCTTCCTTTACAAACTGACATACAATTCTACTCCGAGCCTTTTGCTTGACGGTGTATTTAATTTAAATGTTTCACAATGCAATTTAATCTTGTTCTAAACGAGAAACGGGTGGAAATGTAACAGAAATTAAGTAATATGAACTTTGAAACTATTAATTTAAAGTCCATTATAAATCGCATCATCGCTTACCATTTACCACCAGGCGAGATAGTGGTCAAACGCCGATATCGTGACATACCTCTATCAAAAACCTAGACCTGGATACGGTGATATATCGATAACTAAGTCGACGGTCAGGTATGGGTGCCATGGCAAATCCTTTTTTTTTGGAACAAGCCGGCAAACGACCAGACGGATAACCTGGTGGTAAGCAATCGGCGTCACCCATATATACCTGGAACACCAGAGGTGTTGCAAGTGCGTTACCGGCCTTGTAGGGATTAGGAATTTGCGGATTGTTGGGGATTCGGGGATTGCGGGAAGCGGAGGAGGGGGAGGGGACCCCAATTAACACCCCGATAAATTGGGCTCTTCTTAATACCAGCAGCACTCTAAAAATTATTCTCTACTAACTAGTAACTTGACTACGATCCTCAAACTGCCTGGGGATTATGGCAGACCCATTTTTACATGGAAAGCTTTTATATGAGGACAATAACAATGATTGTAATGAAGTACTCACCACGAGATATCCAAGCAAAGCCTTCGGTAGAGCACCCGTCACGAAACCAATGACAGCTGAGAAGTACGCAAGAGTACTGAGCGGTACTGCCGAAGAAGCCAGCATTTTCTTAAACTTGAGCACGTAGTAGAACATCACGTACACTTGCAACAATATTATCGGATACTCCAGGTACGTCATGATGCCGTAGTTGTTTGTAAAGTTGTATAATGTCATTATGGAGAACCTGCAAGAAATAGGGGGTATTAGTACTTAGGTACGATTACTTTTTCTGCATCTATGACGAATTTGCTTCTGAAGTTTAGTTGCGCGCTTCTCATGGATAGTGTTGGAACCTTGAAACTAACAATTTTACTTTTTTGAAGTTACTCATAGATATGACATAACA